ACTGCAAGGGGTTGAGTGATCATCTCACACTGATACCTCATACAGATATCTACATTGTTGACCTCCGGTTTGGCAGATCTGTTCTGTTCCAGAAAACCTGAGAGTTCTGTGTACCGACACACACATCATTCTGATATCTTGATGCTACAGCACTGTAATGTCCCTTGAACAGACTTGAGATAGCTTAAATACCAGGGTAGACTTCAGCTCTGCAATCAATGCTGTTAGCACTTTTGTCCCTCAGTTTAGGGACAAAGCCTTCTGCACAAAGTAAGGCACCCTTCCTGTTGCAGACCAGAAGATGAAAATAAAGTAAATCACACTTTCAAAAAAGGAATAAAAACCACAAGAGTAAGCTGTAGCCTAATAGTCAGGTTTCTAGGTTAGTTACACAGACCTCTTGCTAGCCAATTTTAGAGACTAAAGTTTTTCACTGTTAAGCTGAGTGGATGCTGTAGTGGTTTGGTATGGGGGGAGTTTTGTGGGGTTTTTGTTGTTGTTGTTGTTGTTGTTGTTGTTTTGAGTTTTTGTTTTTTCCTTCCTACAAACTTAAGGCACTAAGACATTCATTTAATAGCACTGGAATTGAGCCTTCAACATGGAGCAAACCTACAAGGGTAACTGCATTCCTTGGTAAATGCATGGAGTAGTAGATGCTAATTGGGAAGGCAGATGTTTTGCCTACACAAACACAAAAATAAGCTTTCTGACCCAATTCAGAGTCACTGCTATCCGAGGAGCTAGAACCACTGCTAGTACTGCTGCCAGAGTCCGAGGAGCTTCCGCTGTTGCTGCTTTCGCTCAGTCTGCTTAGTCCAATACTGGATTCTGAGTTGTTTTCAACTGTGGGAGAAAAAGAAAGAATTTAGAACAGCCTGCAGTGGAGCAGTCTTCATATACAAGACTAGGACCAACCTTCTTAGGTCTATTCTCCCATATAGCAGTTAATCTTCTGGCATTTCCTTGTGCACTGTCCATTTAGCAATGGATTTGAGACCTTTATAGATGAAGGAGACCTACCAGCAGCAAGCTAGTTGAATGAATGAAATAGCCAAGGAAGAATTGGAGTCACACAACTTACAGTCCTAAAGTAGGTTAAAACTATACTGTCTTAAAACATAGTTCAAGCAATTTTCCCCTGTAAGTTTTCCTGCTGTTAAGAGCCTGTTTCTGTGCTTGTTGCTGGTGCTAGACTTGCATACTGAAGTCTTTATCCATAGTCAACTCTCCTCTTTCCCAAGCCATACGTACTCCAAAATTGTCATCTTTTGCCACCTCCCCTCCATCTAACTATTTTGGATTTGCAAGGTTGATTTAACTCAGTTTATAGTGATTTTGCAGTCAAAAAGCTTTTTCAAAGTGTGTTGCTCTAATGACAGCTTTGAAAATGAGAAGCTACAGGGGTACCTGTGTCCCTTAAGCTCTGAAGCTGTTATCTTTACCTGTAATTAAAGATTAGGTGCAAGAATAAGGAAGATGTTTTAGGTGGGACAAGTAACTGACCAAATTTGCTGCTGTGACTCCAGCTCATTCAACATCAGAAGAGTCTTAAGACTAGCAAAGGGAAGCTTAAGACCTTAACTGTTCTGAGGAGGAAGTCCTCAGCTGCATAGCAGTACATAAGCCCAAAGGGAGAATCCCACTTTAAGCTACTTCTGTTGCAAATGAATAAAAGCGTCACATTACTCTTGAGGTTCTTTTCCTTTGGGTTTAGTTGACCATTGACATCCAGTAGTCTCTTCTCTAGCTCTTGTTTCTTCTCAGAATTAAGTTGATCTTTTGACTTTGTTGTTTTTTTAGCTGCATATGAAACAGGAGTTAATACTGCAGCAAAATAGAAAACAAATCTAGTTTTTTGTTTTGGTTTGGTTTTTTAAGCATCATTTATGCTACATACCTTGCTGCTTTCTTGGTCTCTTTTTCAAACAGGTTGCCACATATTTCTCTAGTTCTCTGAGTGTTGAAGCCTTTAAAATTTCAAAGTCTATTTCTATCTCATCAGGGTTGGAGTTCCTCAGTGCAGGTTCTCTTGACTGTATTATATGGGCTACTTTCCCAAGCTTATCTCCAGGGAGTTTATTTATGTCTAAACTCAACTGTCTTTTTTCATCATAATTCATAGGCTTGGCACCATCTTCATCTTCTGACTTATGTGCCAACAAGACCTGCTGCATGATTTTCTTTGATTGACTGCAAGAAAAAATATATTGCAGTAACAGAAGTTGAAAGTAATTTGACACCCACACGAGTCCCCCACACTTACATGTTTAAAGGCAGCTTTTTCTTAGATTTCTTCTTGTGTTTTAGGTTTTTCTTCTTTTGAATCAAGCTATTTGTTTTGTCTTTTTCCTTGTTCTTACTTCTTTTCTCCCTTTTAGCTTTCCCTTTTTTCTTTTTCAGTCTAGGTAAGTATGCTTTGTTCAAGGCCTGCAACTGCTGGTGAACAGCTTTAAGCTATCAAAAGCAAAAAAAAAGCTGATAATCTTAGGCAATGTAGGATGAACAATAAACTGGCCCTAAATATCACGAGATTTTTGGCAGCTGAGCTAATATTAATAGGATATTTGCTTTCCAAATGAGGTTTATTTTCCAAGCATCTTACTATGTTATAGATTAGTCACAGACTATGTATACAGAAGATGCAAGGCTACTTATTTTATGGAAAAATTTCTAACAGCACATGTTTTCTGACATCCTGTGAAGAATAGAAAAAAAAGCAGCAAAAATCACTGTAGCAGTATCCAGCAGCTTCTCTTTAATTTCAAGCATTTGGGAAGCACATAAACGCCATGTTAGGTAAGACCCATACAATGTTATGGAATTAGGCTAGTGGGACTGGGCTTGTGCATCTTCAACCCATAGATCCCAGATATTTTGCAGTATAAAATGACTAACTGGTAGATACTAAAAGCTTCAGAGAAAGATCTAATGCTAGTTTGTTTAAACCTCATAGGACTTAGAGGGAAGATGGACAGAAAATGAGAATTAGAATTCAAACACACCGAAATACTTCACTATTGAAAAGGCTATCTTGTAGACTTTTAGTTGTCCTCAAGCCTATATTCATAAATTGATGATGTATATGCTACTCTGACAAATACTGAAAACTAAACTGTCCCTCTTTTGACTAGCAGAACAAATGGTAGTTTTCCCCATAGTTTAGATACAGCAGCAGCAGTAGAGATAAAGCATTGTATTCAAGCAGCAGCAAGACCCATTCTTAGTCAATGAAGCAAAGCCATGCTTCACCTGAGCATGAGATTCCTTCCATTTTACTTCACACTGAACTTTCTGAAGGAGAATTTAATGACTTGCTTTTATGTGGCTCAAAAGAGACTGAGTGAAAGAACAGAGGTCTTCAACCATATGAAGGAAACACCATTGTTAGAAGAATATACCACTAAGCTACATGTGGAATATCTGAATGCTCATCATACAACAGCAGCACAATTTTATTTTTTTAAATGTTGGAGAGTCATCTGAAGAAATGATAGGCAAAAGTACTAGAGCAATTTTACACTAAAACCAGTTTGTATTTGCTGAAGCACTATTCACTTAATATTTGGAGGTGCTTCCAAACAGGAATAAAGTTCTGTATTAAGGAAAAAAAGACCATTACTATAGAGCCTTTTAAATACTGATTCTTGATGCTAAGCCTTGGAACGGACAGTTGAGAGTGGCACTGTCAGAGAGATTATAACAGTCATGCACATTGATTACTAATGCTTACTTGCTCTTGAAGCTTAGCAACATGCACTCTTTTCTCCTGCTTAGAGTCTTCAGATGATTTTTCTTCTGAAGAGTCATCATTGTTATTGCTCTCACTGGAGTAAGCTTCTGTCATTTCTCTTGTAGGCTGTGTCAGTGGAACACTTGCAACAGGTTCATCAGGAATTTTGGCAAAGTGCATCTCAAAAACTTCCTAAAGAGTTAGGTTTGGGAACAGCAGAAAGGTCAGCACATTTTTCAGATTTCTAAAAGCATTATGAACTTGCTGCTTGTTTTCTAGGACTACACAGCAACATAGTAGTTGGTAACATTAGTAGATGCTACATGAGGGCATGAGATGATCACAAAGGAATCTTCCAGTCCTACTCTTTTTCAAGTGGGACTTAAGTAATAACTCACCTGAAGTTTTCTTGCCATAGCAACTGTTTCATGGTCCACAGAATTATTTTTGTAGCAGCTCATGAACATTAATCTAACATCCGTAGCAAATTCTTGTATATTTCTATATTCAAAATTATCCATTTTCTTCTAGAAGAAAAGAAATTAATAAACATTTAGGGCTTAAAAGAAGAGTGCATCACCATGAATTAGCAGAAAAAGAGGAGGAACAAGAATTTTGATATCCAGTATTAGGTTCAGCTTGCATCAAGACAGTAAACATTGTAAGAACCATCATGGAAAGACCTACTTCTCATTTCAACATTGTTCCTTTAACAAAATAAAATAATTTCCTCTTTTAAACAGATTTGCTAAATGTAATTGCTGTAAAAACTTTGAAGTACTAGCTTCAGCACTAGGCTAAGACAGCAATGTTCATGTGATTTTATTTGGTCATGTACTCAGCACTTGTTTTTGATTCTAAGCATAGATACAAAGCTTATTCCAGAATTGTTTGACTCAAAGTAATGGGCTAGAAATTGGGAAATAACCTTTACATAGCACAAGCCAGTTTTCAAGATAATTAAAAAGAGTATTTAAATTCAACCCTCCTCACAAAGGTGGATCTTAATTTGGCTAAATACTTCAACCCCAGAGAAATGTGCCCCTGTTTACAAAGCACTGGCCACATATCTCCTTCTAGAAGGATTCCTTTCCACAGAAAATGTGAAAGGCATCACATAAATATCCAGTGTTGAAGTTCCAGGCCACTTCACCAAGGATAATGAGATCACATAGGAGCAGAAGAGGACATTACAGAATTGGATCTTGTTTTATAGAGCAGTAGCAAAAGCATTGTGTATACAGGCAGAAAGATACTTAACATGCAGCCTGCTTGGAAGTGCTTCATGGAGATGGCAATTCCCTCACTACTTACATTAGGTTGTTCAACAGAGAAGTAGATTAGCCATTGTACACATACTCACAATAAGACTTTCTTCAGCAAGCTGTGGCTTAGTTTGTTGAGAGAGATAAGTGTATATGGTTTCTATGCCCACCTCTTTCAAAGGAGAAGCAGCTTCCATGACACCTTTACAGCTAAGGCTACTAAAATCCAGTAATTACACAAGTTTTTCAAGCAAGCACACAAATAGTCCACTTCCCTCTGAAACATACTTACTTTAATGGTTCCCAAGTCTGTAGGACATTTGGCGATCCTTTGGTTCTCACCAAGTGAGAAAGATGCAACATCTATGGGTTTTAAGAAGGGCCATGCATATGCTGCATGCTTCTTCGAAAACATTTCTTTAAGTATTTCATTACAATATTTTAGTTGTTCTGACAACTGAATCTTTTTAAGAATTTCAGGTGACTGTTGATAATCTGGCAATTGTCTCTTCAGAAGCTTATTTGGTATCATGCATTCATTTTCACCTCTACATGCTTTAACAGCTTTTCTTTCATTAAATGTTGCAGAAGCTTCACTGCTTGCTTTGAATACTGAAGTAGTAGGAGTTGTAGTGTCAGCCTTCCTTTTCACACCTTTTTTTGCCTAGAAAAAGAAAATTTTACAGTGTAAAATACAGGTGTCCAGCGCAATGAGAGAACAGTCAGCTTTCAGACTAAACACAAAAAAAAGTGTCAGAACTTTTACAGCTATTGAAATAAGATCAGAATGTGACACTTCCAGAAGTTTAGACTGAAAACCTACAAGATCAGCATGTCAAGCTCAATCTTAGATGTAAAGGAAAGAACAGGGGGTACTGCAGGTCAGGTTGTGATCAGTTTTTAGCCATTTTAGAAGACTCAAAGAAGCTGGTAGGTTATGAAATTACCACAAGATAACTGCTGTGAGAAGGGGTAAAGTTACTGCAATCATTTTAAGCCTGGTTGAGGGCTTTATGTACAAAGTTTATCTCTATTTTTCTTTAATCTGGGTGGTGTTTAGTTTGGAAGCAATATGATGTGTGCTTTGTCATCAGTGTTCAGACTCTTTGGTAAAGGGTAAATATACACTATAGGAGAGCCTAGCATATGTGCCTGTTCCTTATTGGAAGAGCAAAATGAAAACTAAGTCAATACAAGAGCATTTATATGATGAAAACGTCAGATGTTGACATACAATTAAGATTGCAGTTAACAAGAATTTGCTTTTGTGAGCTACAAACACCTTCCAGGTTAGCTACAAAATGTTTAAGCAAGAATGTTATTTTTGAGGAATCAAGACATTTGATTTACATTGAAAACATGAGAAGTTATTAAGTAGAACTTAGAAAGAACTTTATTTTAATGCTAAAACCACTATCTACACCTCAAGGAAAGAACAGTTTCTACATCAAAGTGAAGCCTGCAGAAATATAGTGGTACACTTCAAAAATGACTATCTTAAAGCCCACTTTCTTTGAAAATAACATTTAAAAACCACATTTATGAGAAAAGATGTGCCATGCAGTCAATGCAATTTATGCTTAGTTTCTAGAATTAGTACTGCCCCAGTTATTTATCAGAGACCTAGAAGATTTAATAGAGATCTCTTACTATCTTCTATCACAACAGAAGTTTTGAGAAGATAGCACAGTTCCTATGGTTTTGCTGTTAGTGCCTGAAGCAGTAATTTCAATACCTTTCTGGAAGTTATTTGAGGAAACTTACTTTTGTTACAGGGACTGCAGCTGGCGTTAAAGCAGTCAGCTGAGCTGCAGACAAAGGAGCTAATGTAGTAACCCCATGTAGCTCTTGAGTCATCACTGGAGGCTGCTCACTGCTTTCAGCTTGTTTCTGCATTGTGCTTTGTTTGTTTGAAGTCCCAGGTTTGGGCTGCTGTGTTTCTAGTGATTTTAAAACAGAAAGTTTTAAATTTAGATCTTAAATGTTGCAGTTAATTTCTTTCATGATCAGATTGAACAGTTGACAACAGAATCACTGTTCCACACCCAAACTATGCAAATAAACACAAGAGTATTGTGATGTATAGCAACATTGGTATCCTCCTCTACTCAGCACTGTTAGTACCTCAGCTAGAATATTGTACCAAGTTATGCATATTTGGCTTCAAAGAAGCTGTGGATTAACCTCAGAGGGAAGACTAAAGAGACATTGCATTAAAAGCTGTACATTGTAAAAACATTATTGCTAAGAGGAGAATCAACTTGTTTTCTACACACACAAAGACCGGGCAGCAAAGGGTGCTTCAAACTGCATCATGGAAGTTCAAGTTTCCTAAGCATAGTTAAGACCTGCATATATTGCTTAGCAATACTGCAGATATCCATCTCTGATTTGAGGACAGTTGAGACCAATGTTTTTCTGTATTTGATTTGGCTGGCTATATTACTAATGTCTTTTTGAGTTCTGTGATTGTGTTAGTTCCCGTTCATATATAACACAACATTGAGTAACATCATGACAGTCTCTGAAATGGAAGTCAGTGGCAGCACCCCCCCCCCTTTTTTAAAAAAAAAAAAAAAGGGAAATGAGCTGTGCATAGACCTGTCTAAAGCAAAAATCTGCAAAAGACAGGACAAAAATATCAGTGTGCTCTACTATGCAATTCAAAAAGCACTTAGAACTTTTCAAAATTTGTACAAGCTGCATGTTTGTGTGTGCAAAGGGAATGAGGGGACTTAAACAGCATTAATACCAGCAAGATGGTGTAACGAAAGTGTCTCAACAACTTGTTGCAATCATCTGAGAATCAAAAAGCTAACTCAGCTTCCAACCCATTTCTCAACAGAAATCTTTTCTACCTGTTCAAGCAACATATTCTGCCAAAGCAATGAATTGCTTGAGACTTTACTCAAATAAGCTAGTAAGAGTAGCAAACTGGATGAGTATCCTCCTCTTCCTCCTGACCACCTAAAAATTCTTGTGAAAGGACCAAGAAATCCACTTCTTTACCATATCTGTCTACCAAATCACTGAGAGGTAGTGTTGCTCCTCAAGCACACCTTGAGGAAAAAACTAGAGAGATCTATTAAACTGTAATACTATTTTGAAGAGACTTTTGTTTCAGAGACTACCAGCAACAAGGACCACCACACCACAAACAGCAGTAAAAGGAAGCAAATGAAGTAATTAGGAGACCCTGAAGAACTGTATAGTTGATAGCTAAATAATAAGAGCATCTATTACGTAAGAACTGAGCTAGCTAAGGTCACTGCTCTCAGAAGGCAAATAATTGAGAAGTATCAGGGTGAAGAAGTGTTGAAGCTCTTTCAAGACATAGCTAACATTTCACAAAATCACAGAATTGCAGGGGTTGGAAGGGACCTCAGGAGATCTCCTAGTCCACCCCCTGCCCTGACAAAGCAGGTTCCCTACAACAGGTT